ATTAATTCATTTGATAGGTCTACGGTCAGGTGGGTCTCAGTAACGCCCAGGATGCAAATTGCATATCAACGTTTTGCCGAATAAATCGTTAGCAATTACAAATTATCTGATAACTTAATTTCAACTCAGTCTAAAAGGGCCCAGAAGATGTCATTCGCTCTGACAAAGGGCTAAAGCTCGAAACGTCAGCTTCAGAAACTCTCTGCGGTGGCCAATTTACATGATCAACTCAGGTGATAAAACCAAATCATCTTGTGATCCCCATACTGGTGTAGCACTACAGTTTCTTTAGAAAATAATCAGCTTAATTGAAAAGTTTTTTAATTTTGCTTAATTTTTTTATTATCTTTCCCCTTATTTTCCTTGCTGGCGAATCCAGTGAATGTCTGATGCCATTAAAAAAAGGAAATGGCCAACTATTTATAAACCTTTGCTCATTTCTGTCCACTTAATTGGTCGCGGAGAATAGATTTTGAGTCTTGACGTAATCACAAAGTCCCTTTGAACACGCACCTGCATATTTTTGAAAGGAATAAATTAGAATAGACGGTTCTTTGTCAAACGAGCGACAAGCGTCGATGATGAAGTTCGCACATTTTGTTTCGCTGTTTCTTGTCTGCGTTTTGATGGTTCATGCTGTCGATGGCAGAAAACACCACCGTCACATGAAACGAGGGAAGGAGCGAATGAGGCCAGAGGAAGGTGCGAGAGAGATCGTGCCTAAGTTAGTGCGAAACACCAACAAAGCTACAGATGCTGTCCTTGACGTAGTCAAAAATGATAACAAGGCTACTGCTGAGAACAAGGTGCGGTGGTAACTAGGCAAAATTCCTGGAAACAGTGTAGGAACAGTACAATTGCATCGTGTGTAGATATTAGAGAACGCTTAGTCCAAATTCTTCGGGGAACTGTCCTCGAAAATTGTAGGACTTCGACTTTGAAAACACAGGTTGAGCATCGGAAGAATTGTCTTTGTTTAAATTATTCAAATATCAGAAGCCTATGTACAAGTTTTCAAGTGAATTGTTGCATGATCAGATGAAAAAGTTAATTTCCGAGGTTGAAACTTAGAAATGAAAAATGTCCTTCCTTTGAGCCAATTGCTTACTGAACTCATTGCAAAAGCCAAAGATGTAGAGTCTCATTTCACGACAAAAGTTCAATATGCCGCTTGATAACTTCGAGGCCCAAAACTGTTTTAAGAAAAGTTTATTGAACTAGTATAATTTTAAACCTGAGCTGTGTTGTGATGCACTACAAATAGCAGTTATAACGAAAATAATTTGTGAACAACGAACGCCGAGTATCGCTTTGTAGTTTAAAAACTTCATGCTGCGATGATGCGAAGTTGAAAAGCTCAGAATTTTACGCATAAAAAATTCCTTCGAACAAGACAGCTCCCGCCAAACATGAGGCTGCTGAATAATGAACAGATATTATGACATTTTAAAAACAAGGTTTAGTTACAAATTGAACGGTAGAATCCTTGCTCGAATCGGAACAATTCCAAAAGCGATTAGTAATATCCGATTGTGTAATTTTGACGAACGACATATTGCACTGTTTTGCTACGCAAGAAAGATTAGATGCTGGCATAAATTTCCTCCAGAATTCGCAAAAAGTATTCGTTTTTGCCGCAGTTTTTTTCTCAAACAAATAACACCACTTCGGTAAACAAAAGTAAACCGCAGATATTTATGAAATAACAGAAACAAGCTTGTAAACTTGATTGCCATAGAGTGGCCTGTATACTTAAATGTACGAGATTGTCTCAAAACAATAATGTGGATTAACGCCATCATTTGAATGATAAATTCCTCAAGTTTTTTTACATCAATGACCGACAACATACTCAATACAACTTTCTGATATGACTCGACAAGCTAATGCGCGACTTAGTACGAGTCTTTTATATCTGAAACAGCAAACTGACTTTTCCTTGAATAAAGACATATTTCGTCATACAATGCCTAGGCGATATTGGATAGTCACTTTTAAGGAAAGCAATATCTCTCAATTTGTTTTAACCGAAACTAACTGCGATCATTTTACGTTGAACTTTTTATCACAACGTCTATGAAGGTTTTTTTTTTCAAAATAAGAGTTGTGTAACTTTAGCTCTTTTAAGAGAATTTAATGAACGTGAAATTTTTGCATAAATATGAACAGATGTTGTTGTTGACTGTTTTTGTCTGTTTTCGCATGCAATGGCGTAATTGGCCATTTTTTTAATGTTTTAATCTCGTTATATTAGTTCTTTGTTATTATTTGCTCTCTCTCAGTACTCTTGAGGTTGCCTTTTCCTGTTTTTTCAATAAACTCGGTCACAAATCAGTTTCGGGAAAAACAAGGGCGGATTTGTGAAACTTTCGAGAAACAAAGCAATTAGCAAATAATTGAGATCACTCCTCAGGGACATTCTTTTGCGTCTAAAAACCTGTTATCATCCAAAAGTAAAGCCCTTGATGGAAACTGCTGAAAAACTTCTTTCCACGTAATTGTCATAATTTTTTCGTAAAATTCAAGATTCCTACTATACCGTAGAAAGTAGAATAGAGCCGAATAGATCGGCAAAGAGTGTCCACATATTCTAATAATGTTTGGCTCCCCACCATCTTATGCACGCACACAATTTCGCTTTGTTTATTTCAAGGGGCTTGTCGAAACATCATCTAACCTGTTTGAAAATCGATAAGAAGCATGTGCTGTTGCCAATTCTAATCTACTGAACGACTGAAAACTTTATAGTTAATAATTAAGAAAACTACCCCTTGATTATTTCGTGCACATTTTATGTAAAACGCAATAATTTGCGGCAACCGGTTTCTTTTGCTGTGAAAATGACAGTCTGTTGTTGTTTGCGATCGAAGGAATGCAGTAAACAAATTCATAAGGAGATTTTGCACAAAACAAAATTCTAGAAATTGTTTTTGTCCATTAATAGGGTAACTATGCATTTACAGGAATCATGCAAAGTGGATTGCGATGATAGTAGTCAACAAGGTGGTCTGTGCATATTTCATGTGTAGTCACCTTCTTCAGATAAGCACTGAGGTCAAGAATTCTCGCGGACTAGATCCTATCACTAAAACGTAAACATGCATATTTTGCAGGTGCTGCCTCTGATTAAACAAGATACAGCCATAACAGCTTCTGACGTCCAAGTAGAAGCAGAAGAACTTCCCGTCCAAACAAAACACCGCAGAGGCCGTAAGGGACGCGAACGGTTTGCTTTCCGCAAGAAGGACGAAGGTTTTCACAAGCACAAACGCGGCTTCCACAAAAGGCATCGTGGCCACCGGAAGCGTGGCCACCCAAAGATCAATGAGGAAAACTTGAACATCAAGAACTTGGGCAAACTCATAAAGAGAGCGAAGCATATGGGTAGGAAGCAAAACCGCGAGCAACTGAAAAAAGACAATACACCTTAAACGGATTTTTTTTCAGATTTTCATGTATTCAATACGATTTAACTTTTAAAAGCATTTATCGCTGCTTTAGTCTCGGCCTTGAAGGATACCAGTTTTCCTTAAAGTGATGTAGCAAATTGCAGTTACAATCGTTCGTAGAAATAGTGTAAAATGAGTTATGGTTTTCGATTTCGTAACTTTGTGTGAGGTCAAATCTATATCCACCCACACGGTTCTGCTGTGAAATGCTTAGCGATATCTTCTGCTCTGAAGCATTTGATTAGAAATAAAAGATAAAATCTTGACGTAAATGTTTAGAGGAATAAAATGGTCATGTTATCAAGTTATCAACGGTAAATCAAATACAACGTAAACTTGAGTGGGCGACTGCACAAAACATAGCAGTACCCCCCCCCCCCCCTGATTCTGAATGCTCTTTTTCTCCGAGTAGAGGATATGACACGACTGACGGACATAAAATCAACATTACCCCGATACGTGTTTCGAAGAGAAAGTATCAAGTAGGGGCGCTCCATTTTACATCCGAAGAGGATGAAGCTATTTGGAAATTACTACCCTACGCTACTTGGTAAGATTGATAAAAAAAGAGGTCTTACAAAAATTGCAGTGTGACGTTCTTTAAGGTCTGTGAGGTTGACATTTACAGCAACAGACGAATGGTAAAAGGGAACTTCTTGCTGTCCGCTATCGATCTTTTAACGCCAGAGACAAAAGAGTTTAATAATTATAAACAAGAGGGTTTTTCTCATAATTTTTCTACACTGTTGATTGAAGGATCATGGAAAAGTGAATAAGAACAATTTTCTGTGGTTTGTCGTTGCCATAAACACTAGGCTGAAACTCACTAATATCTCAATTTGAACACATAGCTTGTGTTCGGAAATAATTTTTGTTTTTCGCGTAGCTGTGATGTTTCCAAAGCATAGCTGTTCCTTTAATACTTTGAAGTTAAAATCTCACAACATTTAAATCTCCAGTAGCTCAATTGGTTTCACTGTGAGTCTCGTGAGCTAAGAACTTTCAATAGAAAGACTTTCTTTTTGCAACATTTGCAACCACAGAAGTAATTAGGTCCTTTCCCGACTTTACATTGAGAGGTAAAAAAAATCATTAGTCGCCGCTGATTGACGAATGTAAACCCAGTCTTTTCGGGAAAGCGGATGACACATTTACTGAGCAGCTGAAATTGTTTCTTGATCGCCTTCATGAAGAGACAAGAGTGCGGGTTTTGTGTTTTATTTTGTCTTTTTTTCTGTTTAGGTATCCAAAGTGAGACTTGTTCAGTTTGGTCAAGTTTCATACATTGCCTATTCTTAATCAAATCTACTCTTGTTTTGTCATAAATACTGCCATCTGACTGGAAACATTAAACACTATCTGTTCCGTGATTAAATAGTGAGTATCCTAGCGGTGTGCAGTTGTAAACGAAAGGACACATAGTTTAAACAGGAACTTGTCTTTATGTTTAGTTTCGAACGAATATTCGAATTAAACTTAAACAATTAAATTGTACGCTCTCGATTTCTATTCGTAATAGCTGATTTAGGCTTCGTCCTCATTATCACGCGATAATAATCAAGAGCGAATAATTTGATTTTTCATTATGCTCGCTATTTAAATTTCGCTTGCGTGTCTAAGAATTATGCTTGCGTAATTATGAAGTCTCTGTTCAATGACTTAATCCGTCAGTTGTCACGGATTATTACTATGACTTCTAGATAAGCTTTATGAAAAATCAAAGGTTGGGGGTACACAGCGATTCCGACTAATCTTTAAATCCTGACATTAATGCTAAAACGCAAAACAATCAAAACTAGGAATTTCGTATGATAGCTGAAAGGCAAATAACCTTGGACCTGAAATTTATACGATCATACTAACAAGTCAAAAATGACAAGCTCCTGAAGAAAACTCTCCTTGACTAATATACACATCATAACAACATGGTGGTGAAGAAAAACCAAATTGATCAACCTGAACACTTTATCGTTCTACAAAGCAAACCGTTAAAAAGAATGTACCGAAGTGAATATAAACCTTTCCAAAATGAGTTAGTTTATGAAGGTTCAATAAGTCTGTTTCTCTCTAAAGTGCTATAAGTCAACTACTTCAGTTTCATGCCGGATCGATTTTCATCCATTCGAAGTCATCAGCACTACTTTCGATTAAAAACTGAAAGCAGACAGGGAGAACAATTCCTACTGCAAGCCAAATTACGTTGATAGAGAAGAGACGAACCATTTTTTTTAAATCCACCCATTGTTGTATATCGATTATCTGCACTGCTTCTGCAAACTTTGAGAGAGTCAAAAGAGCGCAGAGGAAAACTAAACCCGTCAACCAAAACACAGTCCCTCTGTCTTTGACTTCAAAATCCTGTGGCATAATTGTTGTTGTATCTGGAGCGCCACGTGAATAAATCTTCCAGGCTGACATTAACAGAATGATACTAATTAGCCAACAGGCCGCGGCTGAAGCGAGATGAGACGTGCAAAGACCTGCCGCGAAGAAACATCCTGCCCAGAGTAAACTACCACAAGTTAAAATACCAGCAATTAATACTGCTGAGATGGCTTGTCTGGGCGTTAATACGCGCTTTAAACCAAGAATGGAAAGGTCTTCTATTGCTTGTATTGCCAGCAGGTTGTAAATCAAGAAAAACGTCAGGGATGTCATAAACACACCTATAAAGTCGCACCTTTTCTTTCCTTGGTGGTCGCTAAAATCGTACTTTACTTGATATGCATTAAAAGCCAGAAGAATCAGTTGAAGAAAACACTGAAATATAATGGTTGGTCTGCATTTCTGAAGAAAAACATACTTCATTTTGTCCTTGAAGCAGCTTGCCAACAATCGCACGTTGAGCAAAGCTCCGATGAGATGAAACGTTATTAAAAGGACAAATATGGGACCCATGACCACAGTAAAAATCAGCTATCTGTCAAGACCCACGAGTTGATCTGAGAGACAACAAGAGTAGCAAGAAATGCTCTTCCACCCTTTCTGTTTTTGTAACCTCACGCAAGATGGACGCAGTCATGCATATGGCGGACGAAGCGAACAAATACTCGACCTTTAAGCTCAAGCAATTTTTCTTCCCTTTGATAATATTAGTGAAAACCTGTATATGATACAATAAAATGACGGAAATGTTGTGTTAAAAACATATGCTTAGTTAAAAAGCCAATTTAAAAGACTCAAATCTCAAGTTTTGTTCCTATTGTATCATAGCTTAGGTCACCATGGGAAGTCCGTTCCGGCGGTACAGCGGAATTACAAGTGGAATTCAAGCTGAACATAAACAAGGCTGGAATATAAGCAAAACAAGCCTAAAAATTTTCAAAATAATGGCCTATATTCACGTGGGTAAAAAGTTCTATAAGCCCTTCAAATTAGATCTTAAATACGTCCAGATAGGTCAGGATCAGAAGGAAGGCTATATTTTTCAAATGACAAGCTCTTACAATTGCCTATTCCAGAGTACCTACTTTCTCCTGTTACGGGAAAATTTAGTGATTTTTCCGTGTGTTTGTTTGGAACACATTTACACATAAAATTTTCATGTTTAAACATTTTCGATTTATTCAAGATCTTTTGCTCTAGTATTCTAAAAAATATAGAAAAGCCACAGTAGTTTTGAATTATCAACTATTACATTTTTTTACTTTGCCTTTCATTATACACCTGTATGTCGGTACTTTAATGACCATTACTGTTGAAATTGCATGTAAATGTAGGTGTCAGTGCTCTCCCTGGAAATATAAGTATAAGTGCTGATGATCTTTCAGGAAAATTGGTTCTCATGGAAGTTGGCAGATGAGTTTGTACTTGTAAGTTGCTTTCCTTTCATGTGCCCACAAAATGCACATTACAAGTGTCTTGCATTTTGGCGATTACACGCGAGCGGCTAAATTGATCTCTAATCACTCTGCAGGGAGACGAGAACAAACCATTTCCATACTAAACATCAGCTTACGCATTCAAGAGTCAGGAATGAGCACCCCGTTTACTAACAGTCCTAAATCGGGTGGGCAGGAAGGTTACGTATATGAATAATTGAAATACTACTATACAAAACTACTACACAACTCTAAATATCGTAGGGAGCGCAGAAACATTTTGTTATACGAGTATAAAGCTACCAACTGATCACAGTAATAACGTTGATACTTAATTATCAGTCGACTTAACAAGTGTCTCGTTTTGTCCTTGTAACACTTACATAAACTGGGATGCTCGTCAGCAGCGAGAGGTCATCACCTTACCTACATTCAACACCCCTGAAGGAACCAGTCATAATTTGTTACTCAGCAGGGAGGGGTGGAGAAGTTTGGGGAGATCACATGTTTTTCAAGAAAACACAGGGGGCAAAGGGGGTCAGCCCTACTTGACAGGCACTAAGAGAGGTGGGGGGGG